CTACTCCACTTTGTGATGCAAATAGGTCTCAGCTTTGGTTTGCAAAGAATACTCCCAAGAGTTTATCAGTTTGTGTAAATACTTTACCCTCTGTGCTGGGAGAAGGACTCAGTTTAGTTATTTGTGGACCTGAAGAAGCTTTTGATGTTGGCATCTGTAGCATAAAAATGAGTCACCAAATTACCTTCTGTTCTGGCTTTTGAGCTGACTCGAGATCACTTTAACTGATAATGTCTAGATAAAGAGCTTGATGTCCTCTAACAACATACTTTCATTAAGATAGCACTTTTTCCTTCTTATTCCTAGCACTTGCTCTGTGATAAAAATTTAGGGATCCCATCTACTATATCCCATGTGAGAGAATATAAGAAATAACACAGTCAATTTAATTTACAGAAAAGTAAAAAGACATTTTCGTCTGAGAATTGTGCTCTACTGCCTTTTCTTTTAGGCAGCAGGGTATGCTACTGTTGCATATGAACTATCTAAAGGAGAAGAGCCATGTTGATTATATTGTTATCTATTAACACAGACACTTGCAGAAAAATCCCCTTCCAATGCAGATTGCAGCATTAGGAGCTCATGCAGGAATCTGTGGGAGGAGGCTGCAGCTGAACTTCTATAGGAAGCTGCTGTGTGTGTTGTTTATCTTCACAGGCACTTAAAAGCTGGGAGAAGTCCTTTCTATTTATCATTGTTGTTTGTATTATATTACTGAAATAAAATTAACTGTAGTAAACATAATAACTTGTACTGTGCTAGCACCTTGGCTAGACGAGTTATAGACCAACATGCTTTCACACCAAAGGCTGTATAAGAAGCACACAGCAGGAATTCAGCATATCTTTGCTTTTTCAAAAGCCTTAGATGGATATGCCCTAAGATTCTGTTAAAACTATTGCATTGGAGACCAAAGTGAATTGGCACAACATTTATTTTATCTATCCTACATGTAATATAGTTATTTTTAATATTTTTTTTTAAATAACAGTTTAATTTGTGAGACTGGTGTTCCAATTTTCATGCATAGTCATCAGAAACGCAAATGCCACTAGAACTCTTGAGTCTGCAAATGCCGATGCATGTATCCTGTTTGGTTTTACCAGACTGTTCAGACTTTCTGGATTACCTTCTATGGAATCTTGATTTTTGGGGAGTATTTCTTCAGCTTCCATTGTGCTGTTCCAGTTATCTTCTTGAATACATAATTGGGTTTAACTGTTTTTTATTTAACACTGATCTTTGTCAGCCAGCCTTTCCATAAGAGGAAAGGGACAATCTGCTGATACAGATAAGCAAAACTAGCTCAGCCTTTACTACAATAGCAGACTGTGGTAAAGAGCAGATTAGTGGAGTTGCCTGAAGAAAGATTATTTGTATCTAATTCACTAATCTCTAACAACGTCTGTATTCCAGAAAGATCTGACATCAAATGTACTGAAGTCAATGGAGGGACCTCCATGCATTTTCTAAAGACTGATCCAGACTGCAGTGATGCTGAACTTAGATTCCCAGCAGCAAATGCTGCTAACAGTTTTATGCTTTCATCCTCCTCTGACCCTTTAATGTTTAGTTCAGCAATCAAATTCAGCCAGTGTGGGGGATCACATAAAGCAAATTTACAAGTAGCATTTGTCAAAAATGAATTCTGAATTTGTTTATAAGTTTCTGACCACTACCTTTCTCCCTTTCCAAACATTTTGACATTCTTCAGTCAAAGCACAAAACTCACCCAGCAACAGCTTAAGCAACCACAACACCAATGGAACTATCCTAGTTTTGCAAATCAAACTCTCATAGCATAGAGTTTACAAGTATTCATATTCTGATATCTGATTGAGTTGAGAACAATTGGATAAACAAATTCAAATAGATACATTAAAACTTCTGGTTGTGGCCATTATGTGATTAAAAATAACGATTATATTTATTGACACTTTTATTTGCTCTTATTGTTCAGGCAACATTTACAGCCTGTGTGGTAATTTTCTGTTTGCTTATTTTACTGTGCTTAGAAGTCAACAGCAGTTTCCATTTATTTGCATGTCACTTTAAAGAACAGTAATTATTAGAAATGTGTGTGGATAATCACGTATATGAGGGGGTTTATATATATGTACGTACATACACACACACACACACACACACACACACAAATCCTATTCACGTAGGAAAAAAAAAAAAGATAAAAAAGATAAGAGACTATTAAAAAAAAAACAAAGGAAAAAAAAATTACTCGGATGAAACCAACAGGGGCTAACATCTTAACATATACTGCTTGTTTCATGGACCACTTTATCAGAGCCATCAATCAGGCCAGCTCAGTCAAGCTGCTGGAAAAAAATTCCCAATTTTTTGTTGTTGTTTCAACTGGACTGATGTTTTCATTTACTAGGAAAAAAAAAAAAATCCTATTTTAGACCAAGAACTGTAAAAAGTGCATAATTAACAGAGCTGAGTATAATTGGATTAGCGTGGGGTGATGGATGTCCTAATTTAGTGGATTTAACAATTCATTTTATTTTATTAGACTTTTCCCATGATGTATGCTTGGGTATTAATAGTTAATGGCATGTGTAGGGCTAAGATAAATAAGTTTGCATGGGCCAGATGGTCTGATTTTGAAATGCTGGCCTCCTCATGCAATAATTAATTTACACATCTGTTGATGCAAGTATCTATAAGTAAAAGGGTTGTGTAGGAATACACAGTAGTTACCATCCTTGCTGATGCTTGCCAGGATGTACTTCCACTGTTTTTCAGGGTTTTCCTGTTGTGAGTGGCAGGAAAGTGGCTGAGGTATCCAGGATACCACTTCATGATAGCAGGAGGAAGGGGCAAGTTATCTTTTGAAATAGTGAGTACTGCTAAATAGCAATTTCAGCAACAAAATACAGGTTTGTCAGGCTCCCAGGACAGGTATTTGTAGTTGACTGTTAGGTTTTGATTTGGTAGTATGGATTCATGTACTGATGTTTTTTAGAATAGTCATGACAGGCTGAAGGATAACACAAGGCAGGCTTATAAAAATGCATCCAGATAGTGACCTTGTATATGTTTGTTATTTAACATACCTATTGTGGTAGTTAATATGGGTTGATTGGGGGATGCCAACATGGGTAGACCACAGCTGATAGTCCAGGTACTACATATTGTTTCTTGTAAAATATTCTGATCAGAGGAACAAAGCCTGGGCACTGTGTGGGTCCAGCATAGCATATGTCAGTGTCCGGTTATGTGCCCTTTTAACCATTCTTTAGTTAAACCCCCCACCCCTCCCCCCTTAAACTAGCCATTAAACTAGTATTTTTCTCTGATATAATAACTCTGATAACAAATGTGAATAGCTGTTTGATAATAATTGTTTTCTGGAAATGTTTCTTGACAATCTCATGCCATTTCACCGACCTGTTATGAGTTGTGCCAGCTGTGACTTATAGTTTTCTAAGCCTACTCATGCTGCTATACTGTGAAGCACTTCTGGAAATAAAAGTGACTCATATTCAGTTGAGTAGGTCCCAGTGATGCTATGAAAGTGGGATGAACTTATTGGCAATATTTTTAAAGTGCTGTGAGTTTCTTTAAGCCTAAGAAGAGACCTGTATCCTGTAACACATCCCACATCTTTCTAGAAAAGTTTCTTCAGGCTTTCATGCAGTTGTTCTTAGGGAGGTAGGAATGCCACATCCTAACCTCCATATCATTAGATCGTCTCTTCTGCCTCATCTCAGGATATAGTAGAAGGGGTTTATGAAGAAGTCCTGTGTTTCGAAAGATGTACTTGAGCTGGGCATATAAACTGCAGATTTCACTGAATTAGCATTTTTAAGTATTGAAGGAACTATGGTAGAAAAAAATCAGCATGAGCAATGAAAAACACAATAGTGCTAGGATTTAATCCAAGGTCCACAGAGTTCAATGGAAGTTGCATTGGTCATGGTGTATTTTGGCTCAGACACATTTTTTGTACTTGGTTTGGAGTTTTGCCTCATAATCCCATCGATGAGAGGGACACCCTTGTCACTGACTGTGTGAAGCATTAGCTGTGTCCCTACACATGCACCCTGGGCATTCCTGCTTGTTCAGAGGAGAAGCAAAAGATCTGTGGCAATTATCAGCTTCGGCACTACACCCAACAAGTGGCTGCCTTTCATCTGTAAGATTTATTCTTGTGCACATATGTGAATCTATAAATATACAATGTGTGTAAAATGTGGGCATATCCCTTAAGGGAAGCATGCGTACATTCACAGCATCAGTGAGAACTAGCTGAGCACTAAGTCCACCATAACTTTAAATTGCTTGTCCTTTGGGCCACCAGTTGTCCTGTCTTCTGTGTTTCTATGTTACTTAGTGGAAGGATGATTTTGGCTGATTGCAAAAAGGAAGAAAAAAGGAGAAAGTACTCTGATTTATGTGCTTGTATTGTGAAAATATCTTGGAGCCTGGTTCATTAGCCAAGATATCAAGCTGGGCAACATTAAAATAAAGTCTGGTCTGTGCCTTAAGGATCTCCTCATTTTAGTAGTAGTTCAAATAATAGTATGGATTAATACATTTAAATACAGTGGAAAAAAAACCACCTTTGTTTGGTGATATGAAAGGAGAACAACACTGTAAAAAAACCCTTCAGTTTCCTAAATTCAATTTGAATAAATCCCATAGCTCTCAATCACTGATGTTATCTCTTAATTTAGTCCATCTGCAGCCAGCAAGAAGATGTGTCTTTAGCAGAGCCATTTCAGACAAATCTTGTGGGAGAAAAAATTTCTAACCCTGGCCCCTGTTTGCTCTGCTCTCAGGTCAGCCTCCATCAGAGGTGTTGCACAAAAACCCATTCCCCCACAACCTGCATGTGGAAAGCAGCAGTCCCATAACTTTCCAGGGGGCCAGGGATAAACAAGAGATAATTGCTGAAGTGCTGAGCATTAACACTGATAACAGGAGGTATGGCTGATTAAACAGAATTCTATGGCATTTAGTTAGCACCTCAAAAGTAGCAAATCCAAGTGTGTATTGAGCACAGTGTCAAGTCCCCCTTTTGTCAGACATCTTAACATGTCAACCATGTCTTGTCTCTGTTGTGGATGCACCAGTCTTTGTTCCTGATTCTTGTATTGTTTGTGAGATGAAGATATTGGAAAGTGGAAGAATAATATGGGCTGATCTCTTTGCTTGGCATAATAAAAGCAACATATTTGCCAAGAGCCTAGATTATTTATTAAAGTAAGAAAATAATACGTGTGTGTGTGTGTGTGTGTGTGTGTGTGTGTGTGTGTGTGTGTGTGCAGAAAAAGCTTGGCCAATACTTAAAACAGAGGTTTGCAATTCCGTGCTCTAAGAGAATGACTTGTATTATTTCTGGATAACCTACAGATTTGCTGTCAGTCAGGAAAGTTTGTACATAAGCAACAGAGTAACATAACAGGTTTATTCGTAAAGATGAGGGCAGTAGATGACAGTACAAGTGGGGCTGTACAGGAAATCTGGCACTGAAAGAGAGCATATGCTTATGTATAAACTTTTCAAAGTCTCACCTGACTCCCTCTGCTTTGCAGATCTCGCAGCCCAAATTTCAGCTGCATAGAGAAAAACTTCAAGTCCATTCTTGTAATTCTACCAAGTGCAATGTTTTCATGTGTTTTGATTTGCAGAAAGCATCTGAAAGTGTGTGAACAACAGAAAATACTGTTAGTGGAGGGCATTTTGTAGAAGACACTTAAATCCTGGTTTTGTCTGTAGGCTCTACAAGTATTTACCATGGGAATAGTGTACTATCCTTGGGCAAAAAGTAATTTATTTTCTAAGAAATCCCCTCCCAAATACTTCTTAGAACTCTCTAGTATTATTAGCTTTTAAGGAAACACAATATTCCCAGTCAAGCATTTCTTGCACAGATGACACAGGTCCCCAGAGATGAGTTGGTTTCACTTCTGTTCTTTCTGTGTGTTTGATGCTCATAGACCAGAGAATTTCATGTGACTTCCTAGCCCAGGCAACTCCATGGGAGGTCACCAGTGATTGTTTCATTCCTGACCTGATCTGTGGTTATTTCAATATTGCACTCACCCTGCATATAGAACAACTGTCACCTGTGCAGGTGCTATAGGTCCTGTGCTAGGAGAGAAGAGGAGGTGACTAGAATAGACTGTGCCTGGGAATCTTACAAAAACTTAAACTAGAATTACTTCAAGCCATTCTGTTGCCTCTCTGATTTAAGAATTGAGCACCTGTATTTCAAAGAATTTGTTTGTGAAGGCCAGGGTTATAAGAAATGAAACTTTCATGTTATTATCCTAGACCAGAGTTTAGATATCACACTAAAATACTCGGTGTTGTGTATTGAGCAGTCCCTATATGCCAAATCAGGTTCTAATGTTATCCTGTAACTTGTACTGGAGAGAGGAAAAGGCACAGTTAATGTATGAGTACAGCCTTAACTTTTGTTCTGTATCAGGGTTTCCTCATTCAAAAGCAAATAGCTTCTTGCTTTCTTTTGCTAAGGCCAGGCAGAAAAAGGCACCTTTTAGATCCAATATGGTAAATCATATTTGAACTCCTTTAAATTTAGTTAACAAAGTATAAAGATTTGCCACTATAGTATATAGGTTTTATACAATTTTGTTTATTGCCCTTAAATCCTGAACTAATCTATAACACTCGCCATCAGATTTCTTTTATAAGTAAAGACAGGGGTATTACACCCTGGTTTGCATTCAATTAACAGTCTGAATTGCAAAAATTTACCTTTTTTTTTTTTTTTTTATCCCTATCTGATCTTCTGCACACAAAGGATATTGTTTAATCCTCACTGGAGCAGCTCCTGGCTTTAATTTGCTTTCTATTAATTTGGCATTCTTAGCCTTACCTGGTATTCCAGAAGCCCACACTCCCAGATATACCTGGTCCAGAATTTCTGTTGGTATTGTGCTCTCCTTTTCAGTCTGTAATAAAGACAAACTTTAAAGTTTGATTAATTGGTCTTCCTTTATTTTAAACTCAGTTCCTTTGGCACTAAAACCAATCTTTGTTCCTAGTTGTTCTAACAGGTCTCTCCCTAATAATGGTTTAGGAATCGAGGCAATTAAAGAAACTTATGTATACCTCTTTTATACTTTATAGGCTGCATAAAGAAAGCCTTTTCAGTCTGGCCAGTTGCTCCAACCACAGTTATAAAATCTTTGTCCATAGGTGTTAAACGTTGGTTCAAAACAGAGTAAGAGACTAGCTGTTTTCAAAACCAATTGTTTCTCTGTTTACATCATAGCATTTAGCATTAAGTTTATATCTTTCTAATCAGGGTCTTAGTTCAAATCTTTTTGTGTCACTTTGTGGATCATCCCGGTAGTTTGCCGTTACCTTCTTCCAAGCGCCTAAACTTATTCATACTAAAGGAGGCTTTAATTCGGGTTATTCTTCCCAGTCCCATCGCTTCTCTGAATGGGGCCTGTATAGCTGAACCTGAGTCTGGGCAGTGATTGGAATGCTACCTCCCACCACCTCCTAACACAAAGGAGTTATCCTGAGAGGGTCACATATTAATATTCAGTTTTCCCCTTTTCTCTCTCAGGAGGCCATACTTTAATTAACAGAAAAAATATTACTATCCACTCTCCCCCCTATTCACTCTGAGGAGGTTGCACCTTAATTAGATGCTTTCTATTCCCCGAGAACCCTGTTCATGTATAAAGCAGGGGAGTGGTCCTCTCAGGGAGGCAGCACGTAAGTTCCAACCTGCCTCCCTGTGTTCTGAGAGGTCCCTCCCAACACAGTGCATACACCCTGACTCCAAACAACTGACACGGAATCACAGCCTCCTCGCTAAAGGAGACACCGAACAAACAGACAAGCAAGCAGCACCGATGACACAGCAGGAAGGCACTAGGACATGTACTAAGGAATATTAACTTGTCCTGTCCATACAGTCTCAGACCTCCATTAAAGAATTCTTTTGCTGATTCTTTACACTATCTAAATTTCCACAAATTACTTGTATGAGCTCTTCTGAGCACTCTATTCTGTCCCAATCTGACCAGTGCTTTACAATTTTCACAATAAAAATCATTCCCAAACCCATCCCAAACATAATTGCCACAAGTAAAACACTCAATAACAAAGATTGGGTAACATGAAAAATCCCGACAGGCGTGTATAGGACACCAGCAGTTGACAATAGGTTCAGTTAACACCATTACAGAGTCTGCCATGCGCTTTGTTCATCTCTGACTACTTCCCTCACGGGATAAAGGAACTGCAGATCAGGACTCCACACTCGCTTCAGCGATGCTGCATCTCACTCACACCCTGCAGGCATGCAGACACAGGCACTCTATTACTCTGAAGGCACTTAGTCTTTCAGGTACACAAGCATTCTATCACACTTAAAGGGCCCGTCACGCTTTTCACTCATACCACAAAATATTCCAAATATAAAACAAGAAGTCCGTGTGTAGCATAAATCATAAACCATTAACTATTTGCCACAAAGACAAAACCAGTTAATGTAAACCAACACTTAGTGCACAGTGCAAGATGTAACAATTTAAGTGCTCTAAGTGGCTATCACAAATATCCCAATGATAGCCACATTGATGTAAAATTTTAATGATAGCTATCTTGCTTGCATTCCTCTCTTATAAGGGGTCTGTGCGAGGCTCACATTATGCGACTTTCAACTTCCCTGGATAATGCCCTTCAATAAAAGATTTCCGCAAGCCCAGGAGGGCGTGGTAGGATTTCCAACGCAGGATGTCAGTAGTTTACCGACACCCTGCCCAAACGTAAACTACCTCTTATATACCAGTCATAGTTTGCCCCAAAGACCTACAAGCAAAACCCTTCCCATGGCGCCCCCAAACCCAAACGGGTACCCTCCAGGGACTGCTGTGCGCCAGACGTCTCTGCACACCTTACCAGCAGCCCACCAACTTATAAATGTACCTTTGTCCGCAATTTAGATGGTTCTTGTCTGACCCCACAGTGAACAGCTGAGAGTGGAGTTCCTCTGAGAAGGGCTTAGGGTGCACCTAGGAAGTCCGCCCCTCAGTCGTTCCATCAGCTGAGCAGACAGTGTTCCATCTGGGATGCCAAAATGAGGCATGGAAACAAACTCTATAACTCACTAAGAGCTATAAAGCAGGCATGTTTATTCTGGCCAGGGTGCAAGGGGATCTCTCCACAAAGCTTGCACACCGTTTCTGGCAAGTATCCAGATATTTATTACAACAAAACATACATATTTATTAGGAAGGGCTGGGTTATTACAATTAGTTCAGGGAATAGGTGTGATTATTATAATTATTCAAGGAGAGAAGTATGTGGTCCTCTTCACAGTGTCCCGCTGTTAAGCAAAGTCCAGATGTCTCTTTCCTCTTCATGAACTTTTCAGCTTTGCTTCCTGTGCATGCTCTCTGGACCTTTGGCTCCTCTCCTGGTTGTAGAGTCAGCTTTTTACCTGTTTATTTTGTTAACTGGAACTTCTGTGTCTATCAAGATGTCCCAGGAAGTAAGTACTTTAGCTGGTATGGGTCCCCCTTTATGTCAAAGACAGGGATTAGTTTACTATCTATCTTGTTTTCTGTAAAATGTTATCTAGTTAACATGGCCTGAGGGCTAGCATTTTTTAAGGGGCCCCACAGCTTTGTCGATATTTTTTTTTCTTTTTTTTTTTCTTTGCTTTCCTCAGATCAGTAATGATCCTTATTTCGGTTTGTTATGTTTACCATAATCCTTAAAGACCGGTAGTAGCCAAGACAAGTCCTGATGCTGTACTTCAGTGTGTTGTAATACCCACTTCTCCACGGCCCCAGCTAAATGAAGACTTCTCCTTGGGACACAGCTGTAGGAGGTTGTAAGGGACTGTTTGAACTTTATTTGTCTCAACACTGCTGCTTCACGACTACCACTTCTTGGCCTCAGCATCCTATTACTGTGAAGGAGTACATCTTGAAGGAGATAAATAGTCCCCGAAGAAACCACAACATCCGCCCAAGGCTAGAACAACAGCAGCCTTGGTAGCGACCACCAAGCTACACCTGTGCATGAGCCAGGTAGGCGGTGTGAGACAGTAGGCAGCGAGGAAGACGTGTAGAGGGTGAAGGCACCACAGGTTGACCCCCACCAGCATGACCACCATAAATACCTGGGCATGCATGCATGGAGGACCATGGGGCAGCACATATTACAATGAGCCCCGTGGAAATGGGCACACTAAATCATGGAGATGGGGACTATAAAAGGACAGACTGCGTACTCCTCTCAGAAGATGCTTGTTGCCTATTGCCTGTTGCTGGATGCTTGTTAATGGATGCTTGAGACTTTGGCGGAGCCAGGAATATGGACCATCATCATCGGCACTGAGACTGAGCTGACAGAACATCGCTGGATCCCTGGTCGTGGTGGTGGTGGTAATGAGCTGCATCTCTATTGTTCTCTTGCTTAGGGATTCTGACATTTTCCTTTCTTTTCCTCTCTGTACTATCGCTCTTATCAGTTGTTACAGAAAATAAAGTTCATAAGGTGTACGGCATATGACCACGTTTGTGTCTTAATCTCACTCTTCAGATTGTTTAAGAACCCTCCCCAATATTGGATCAAGACAGAGATCTTGCTATCCATGCTCTTTGAGGAGATCCTGGCATGCAGATTTCTGTTCTTCAGATGTTATCTGGTTTGAGCACATCAGGTTGCCGGGTGTTAATGACAGCATTCATGATGGCACATGTACAAAGAAGTGTGCTGGATTTATGAAGACTGGTATAAAACATCAGCGACAGGGTAAGTGAGGCTGGCAGAGCAGAGCTAGACCCCTTCTCCCACCAGGATTCTGAGGGATTTTTAAGCACTGCAAACATTTCCAGCTGTATTCACATCCTCCTAGATGAGCACAAAGCAGGACAGATAAACTTCAGCTAGTGTAGATGCATTTTTTTCATGGGTGAGAATATTAATAAGATCTCCTTCATTTACCCATGCCACTTATTTTGGGGAAAATTATAGAAACTTCTTTCACTTTTGAGACTAGTAATCCTCTGTCAGATTTCACTGTTTCTGAGAAAAAGTCTTAGAAGATATTGGGCACTGGGTACAAGCAGAAATGCATGCAGATGGAGTAATTTTACAAACCTTGTTTCCGTAGGACTTCAGGTTGACAGGAAAATCACAACAAACAAAACTCAGTCATCATCTACCCCTGGCTGTGGAGACATGGTGCAGTAGCTTGTCCTTTTGTGTCACTGGAGCTGTGACTAATCCACAGCCCCAACACATGGCAGCAGAAGAGGGAGAGGCATTTTGCCAATTGAGGGCAGCTACCCGTGTCACCGAAAACTGGGATAAAAACTTATTGACACCAATGTGATGTAGACACTTCTTTATTGACAGCCGGACGTGTAGGGGAGTGCTCTCACCAACAACACGTGCCAAGCACCAGAATCATACACCTTATATACAACTTACTCATACATATTCATTAAGTATTCATACATAAACATACAATCTCCAAGAAATCATTAACATATTCTCCTCCTATTTCCAATTCTGCGCAGTAAAGGTTAGAAATGTCTAGAAATGGGTCTGGGGTGTAATGTGAGTAGGTGGTCCATGGGTCAGTGGTCGCGATCTCCCCCTGCCGGAATTACCTTTTGCTTAAGGACACAGTTTTCTTGGCAGGTACCTGCAAGCTGTTACGGTTACTTCCCTCAGTTCCCATCAATCATGGACCTTGACAACTACTTGCATTCTTCTAGTCCTATACATGTAGTATAAATCAGTTTACAAATTACCTTGTGTTTTCTTACCTAGGTTCTAACCGTTCCTACTTAACAATTATGACCAATCCCTTAGGCCTTGGTACAGGGCTGTACAGGGAATCTTAGAGTAGCAGTTGGTTGCTAGATTCAAAATACAATAAATGTAAAATGATTTTTACTAAAATATCTCTCAATTCTATACTTATATTAAAATCAAACACAATTTAATTTCAGTTGATAATAAAATCAGTAACATCTCCCCCCTTTGAAAGTGTTGAAAATAATTTCAATACTTTCATCCTCTTATTCGTTTTCATCTTCAAAGGCAAATTTTGTCCAGCCAGATGATGGTGGTGGTGGGCTGTAGTCTGGTGGCATAGTGGGTACTTCTCTCATAATTGTACAATGTATTGCAAGCTTATTAGTAAACTGTCTTTTAAGACAGGCATACACCAACATAATCATCAAAAGGACGATTAGTAGCAAAAATGGAGTTTTGATTAGGGATTTCATCCAAGAGCTCAAGTTCCATCCTAATCCACTAAAAATTTTTCCAAGCCAATCTTCTGACATAACTTCTCGAATTGTTTCTGTTTGTTTTGTTTTGGTTGGGTTTTTTTGTTTGTTTGTTGGGGTTTTTTTTATATATTTATTTTACCTAATAGATATAAATCATGCTCTACATCCTGAGTGATTTTGGAATATGAATGCAGCAATGATCCAATCTATCTTTAAGATATCCACACACTCCATGCTCCTTTAACAGAAGCATATCTAATGCCATCCAGTTTTGAATTGTTGTTCGGGAAGTTGCCTGTAATTGGATGTTTAATTCTTTAAATCCCTTCCTTGTAACACTGGCCAATTTTTCTACTTGTCCTGTTAAGTGATAAAGCCATTCTCTATTCCTATAGGACACTATTGGGTTTAAAAGAGACTCAAAAGACCAGCCAATTTTTACTCCTGTTGATGGTTCATTCCAGGTGTCGTCATTTGTTTCAGACCTTTCAATTCGTTGTAATTTTAAATTTTCCAGGGAGCCCCTGAATGGTGATTTCTTCCAAATCAGAAACAATGTTGGCTGGCCTAAAGTAATTTGTTTCACCTTACCATCTACTGGTAAGTGGATTCTCCAGGTGCCATCACTTAATGCCCAAACTAAATGTCCTGGACACTGAATGGTGGATTTCTTACAACTAAAAAAGTATCCTGGGTGTACAGATGCTAGTCATGGTGACGTTATTATGAAAACCTCAACAAGAACAACCAAACTTCAGAGCAGCTGCCAAATGAGGAATTCTTTGAATTACTAAGTCTGCATTGCTGCAATCATACACCTTTTCACATTTCCACCATGGTACTACATGTTCCTTTTCTAGTCGGGTAGTGCCTTTATCTACTATTGAGGGAAGGATTGCAAACACTCTATTAATCTAGGTACCATCCCAAGTAAAACACCAAGGGGTTCTGGCCATGTACTGAAATCGTGAGAATATGGACATAGACCATAGAGTCCCACTGTGCCTGTTTTGGGGTACTTTGCCCAGTTTTGTTACACTGCCATTTCATGATGCTCCTGCTCACATTGTTTTTAATTTGTTCATCATATGAACACCATCCTAGATTAGGGTTTGGGCCTCCTGGGTGGGGAACTCGATCCAAAGCACTCGGTTGAGACCCTGTTACAAAGTCATAATTTAGTAGTTTTTCACAGTCTGATTTTTACCCAGTGATTTCCATTGTTTCCTAATAACTTTCACTTGTTTATACCATTGAATCACTGGCTTTTGTTTGCAATAAGTGGTCTCGTTTTTGTGTTCTAGATAGGTCAAATTCATAGTTAAGATTCCCTGAGGAATAGATTCACCTACTGCTCTTGGTATTGGTAAACTGGCAGTAATTTACGTAACGTTCTGCAAGTTGCAAATCCCTTAATCAATACTAACATCAAATTTTCTTCAGGCATTCCGTTAGGAATGTTAATTAATTGTTCTGTATTTGATTGCCTTTTGTTTCTAGCCACCAAATCAAACCATGATCTCACCAGCGCCACCTTCCAAGCCAATATAAGGGGAACAATCACAAACTGATATAAAATATTAGACATGTTTCAGTCTTTGGATCATGGCTTATAATTTTCCATGGAGTAGGCGCCTTTTTCACCCAAGTATAGTGTATCCAAATATCTGATTCCTCAACCTTGATAGCCATGAGAGTGGTTAACAGTATCTGGAAAGGTCCCTTCCAGCGTTCCCGCAGAGGTTCGGAAATCCACGTTTTCACGTATAGTCTCCTGGTTGAAAATCATGCACTGGAGTCTCTAGGGATAATGGTCTATTCCACGCTACTGCGCTCTGAATCGCAGTCAAAGTTTTTCCTAAAGAAAGCAAATAGTTATACACATCCTGTTTTCCTTTTACATGCATGTTTGGATTTTTGGTTCTGGTGACTCATAAGTTTTTCCATACAGTAATTCATAAGGACTGACTGAGGTTCCACTCTTTGGTTGTACTCTAATTTGTAATAATGCCAATGGAAATGCTTGAGGCCATTTTAAACTGGTCTCTTGACAGATCTTACTTATTTGCCTTTTAAAAATCTGGTTCATTCTTTCTACTTTTCCACTGGATTGTGGCCTCCATGGAGTATGTAAATCCCAAGGGATACCCAGAATTTTGCTAACTTTTTGGACTATTTCTGCAACAAAGTGTAGACCTCTGTCAGATGAAATTCCAATAGGAACTCCAAACCTTGGAATTATTTCTCATAGTAACAACTTTACTAGTTGCTTTTCTTGTGTGGTGTGACAGGGAAAATCTTCTGGCCATCCTGTAGAAGTATCAACCCCCACCAGGATGTACTGGTACCCATTTTGCCTAGGTAATTCTGAAAAATCTACTTGCCAATAATTTCCAGTTTCTGTACCAGATTTTAATCTACCAAATTGAACTCTTTTCTTGATTACTGGATTATTTTTCTTTCTTAAACTATACTTCACATTTTGCAGTTATTAATTTAGCCATGTCCATCATTTTAACAAATATAACTTGTTTTTGTAAAGAAGTTACTAAAACTTCTGCTCCCTGATGACATTCTTGATGTTTGGTTTGCATTATTTATTTCATTAACAAAGGTGGAACTACTACTCGTCCATGAGGGGTTACTGTTTTGGAGGGAATTAATGCCATTTGGAATGCTTGATACTTTGCTATTTCCTTTGCTGTTCGGTCTGCCAAATTGTTTCCAACAATTTCTTTTGTGTTCCCAATTTGGTGTGCTTTACAGTGCATGATTGCTACCTGATCTGGTTTTTGAACTGCTTGTAATAATTGTAAAATTTAATTTTGATGCTTAATATTTGATTCCTGAGAGAATAATCCTCTTTCTTTCCACAAAGCTCCATGGACATGTACCACCCCAAAAGCATACTTTGAGTCTGTCCAAATATTTACTTTCTTTGTTTCACTTAGTTCTAGGGTTCGAATCAAAGTAATGAGTTCTGATTTCTGAGCTGATGTGGTACTCGTCAGTGCCTTTGCTTCTATAACTGTGGTGTCTGTTGTTACTGTATATCCAGAGTATCAAACTCCTTGCACCATAAAGCTGCTGCCATCTGTATACAGTTCCCAGTCTGGTTACTCCAATGGTACATCCTTCAAATCTTCTTGACTGGAATAAACATACTCGATAGTAGCCAAGCAGTCCTGCTCCAGTTCTCTTCTTCCTGTGTGGAACTTAAAAACACTGCAGGATTTACCAGGTTAGTTGTTTTTAGAATCACCTCACCTTGTTCAGTCAGTACTACCTGGTACTTCATCATTCAGCTCAGAGATAGCCAATGTCCCCCTTTCTGTTCTGAAACAGTTATCACCATGTGTGGGACATAGACTGTTATTGTGCTTCTCAAAGTTAATTTCTGAGCTTCCTGTATGAGCATCACTGTTGCAGCCACAGCTCAAAGGCAGTTTGGCTACCCTTTACTCACTGTGTCCAGATGTTTGGAGAAATATCCAACCAGTCACATCCTGCTTCCCATCTTCTGAGTCAGCACACCTAGTGCCAGGCGTTGTCTTTTGTGAACGCACAGCTGAAAGTCTTTAGTTAAGTCCAGAAGTCCTAAGGCAGGTGCAGACATTAAAGCGTTTCAATTCTGTGACAGCCCGTTGTTGCTGTGAGCCCCATGTAAAAGGAGAGTTCTTCGGGCCTCATATAGCAGTTTAGTATGATGACACCACCCGGACATTCCTAAAAATGCTCTGAGTTTATGAATATTTTTCAGCTCAGGTATATTGCAAATGGTTTCTTTACGATCTTTTCCTAATTGTCGCTGTCCTTTTGAAATTTCAAAGGCCAAGTAAATCACAGTCTGGCAGGGTATTTGGGCTTTCTTCTGAGATACTTTGTACCCATTCAGTCCCAGAAAATTCAAAAGATCTATTGTTACCTGTATGTAGGTAAAACTTTATTCTGTAGCAATCAGTGTGTCATCCACACATTGTAAAAGCAAATGTCCAGGTTTTTGTTTGTCCTGTTTCCATGTTTCAAGCTCCTTTGCCAGCTGATTTTCAAAAATGGTCAGGCTATTTTTAAATCCTTGGGGTCGTCTTGTCCATGTCAGCTGAATCTTTCATCCTGTTTGTGAATTTTCCCACTCAAAAGCAAACAATATTCTGTTTTCCTTCTCCAAAGGTATACAAAATAAAGCATCTTTTAAATCAAGCACTGTAAACCACTGATAAGTCTCCTTTAAAGCTGTTAACAGCATGTAAGAATTTGCTACTACAGGATATATATCCTTAACTATTTGATGCACTGCTCTCAAGTCTTGCACCAACCTATATTCACCCAAGGGTTTTCTGACTGGTAGAATGAGAGTTTTATACTCAGATTCACACTCCTCCAAGATTTTAATTTTCGAAAATTTATCAATCAGTTTCTTTCTTATATCTGATACCGATTGTCCTATAAAAATCAAAGCCAATTATATCAGAGCTGCCTCGGTTTCTACTCTCAAATCAGTTTTTTGGGGTTTTGTTTTTTGTTTTTTTTTTTTCCTGGCAGCTTCTTTCAGTCTTTCCAGAAACACTGGGGGAGATTCATTCTTACCTTGTCTCACCTCATACAATTTAGATAAGTTCAGAAACAGGCATGGCATGTTTAACTCCATATAAAATCCATTTCTGATACCGACTCAGTCTTTTTCTGTGCTCCACATTATGTGGATCCCCACTGCAGATTCCCAGACAGAAAATTCTGCTCTAATATTCCACCTGTTGTCCCACTCAATACAGTCACTTCTGCCTGTGCTTTGCCAGCATTTAATACCATCTGGTTTTCTGTATCATCTAACAAATTAGATAACATCACCTGTAAATCACTCCAATCCAGATTCTGTGTTCTGATTATAGTATCTACTACTATGCCTGTTCTCTCAGGATCCTCTCTATACAATCCTGCTGCCTGCTTCCAAGCCATCAAATCCATCACTGAAAAGGCACTTTCACATACACCGGCCCATCATTGCCAACTCCCTGCTGCAGGGGAGCTATTTTTTGTACCTGCTGCTGAGTTCTTTCAAGAAACAGGGGTGTGAATTACAACCTCAGATGGCCCTTCATCCACATCCTCTATTCCAGTACTCTCAGGTTCCTCTACCTGTTCTCTATATTCTCGCCCCCAATGCCATTCTCTCTGCGGAGGGGATATATCTAATTTCGGCCCTTCATCCTTTTCAGCAGAAACAATTCCTTCCTTTAAACAATCTTTTCCAAGCTCACATGTTGAACAACACTTTTTCACCCTTTTATCATCAGAAGTTATAGCCATTTCTAAATTATCCCTACCAACCAACTTACAGTTCTTCTGCTAATCCTTCCTTTCTCTTAAATAGAAAAATAAATCAACATGTGGCACTTCATTTCCCTTCTCTTCTACAAAACAGCATTAACTGCAAAATGGTATTATAATTCAGTGTCCCATTCATGGGCCATTTTTCCTGATCATCCATAGTATACAGAGGCCACCAGCGATTACAATATTCAATCATCTGACTCTTTTGCAAATCATCCTGCAAATCTCCCCAGTGTGCTAACAAACATCCCAACGGAGAAGTTTTCAGAACTTTGTCATTTGCAGCCAGATTACCCATACTTTTACTTTTAAACAAATGAGTCAGTTTAGATGCCTTGATTCAGTTACTTTGTACACAATATACAATCACTCAAGTCTGTCGCTTAGTTCTTCTCCGGCTGCACCCCTCTCAGGATAACAGAACCGAGGATCTGAACTCCGCACTCGCTTCATGCTGAATTGCACGTCTCACGCTTACAAACACACTCACACTCACACCTTCCCACAATTATTACCATAAATAAAGGCATGTAACACAATATAACACAGTTCTTAATTACCACTCAATACTCAATTGAGGACATAAACAGTACCACAATAGAGTGCATAAAAACTTCTAACTTTTCGTTAGAGGCACTACCTTTGAGAACACTATAGCATATAGTTTCCCTTGTCTACATTGTTTTCCAACCCTGCAATAGCTTTTGCTTATGTCCTACGGGCAGATGCCTAGGCTTACACTTTACGCTAGGATCCTTTGGTCCAACCCTGCACAGCTTTCACCGCGTCTGACAGGCAGATTTATACAATGGGACTCTAACCCACTCGAAGTGGGACTTTAACCCACTTATCCCAATACAAAAGAGAAGTCTTACCAAAATCCAGGGGACATCGCAAAGAACCTTAAGGATCGGGGATCGATGGGTATCCCCGAGAAATCCCCCGAGAAATCCTTGGTGCTGGCTGGAACCAAGGTCCCCGACTCCTCCAGTCTCTCTCAGCGAGGTCCCATCTGGGTCACCAGAAACTGTCACCAAAAACTGGGATAAAAACTTATCGACACCAATGTGATGTAGATAAGCAGACACTTCTTTATTGACAGCTGGACGTGTAGGGGAGTGCTCTCACCAACAACACGTGCCGAGCACCAGAATCATACACCTTATATACAACTTACTCATACATATTCATTAAGTCTTCATACATAAACATACAATCTCCAAGAAATCATTAACATATTCTCCTCCTATTTCTGATTCTGTGCAGTAAAGGTTAGAAATGTGTAGAAATGGGTCTGGGGTGTAATGTGAGTAGGTGGTCCAACATACAATCTCCAAGAAATCATTAACATATTCTCCTCCTATTTCCGATTCTGTGCAGTAAAGGTTAGAAATGTGTAGAAATGGGTCTGGGGTGTAATGTGAGTAGGTGGTCCATGAGTCGGTGGTCGCGATCTCCCCCTGTCGGAATTACCTTTTGCTTAAGGACACAGTTTTCTTGGCAGGTACTTGCAAGCTGTTACGGTTACTGCCCTCAGTTCCCATCAATCCTGGACCTTGACAACTACTTGCATTCTTCTAGTCCTATATATGTATTGTAAATCACTTTACAAATCACCTTGTGTTTTGTTACCTAGGTTCTAACCATTCCTACTAGACAATTATGACCGATCCCTTCAGCCTTGGTACGGGGCTGTACAGGGGATTTTAGAGTAGCAGTCGGTTGCTAGATACAAAATACAATAAATGTAAAATGATTTTTACTAAAATATCTCTCAATTCTATACTTATATTAAAATCAAACACAATTTAATTTCAGTTGATAATAAAATCAGTAACACCCGGATTTCTGAAGTCTCCAAGGACTAAATCCACTTCATGCTGACACTCCAGAGGTACTGGACTGGTCCCATTTTATAATGAAGCAACCTTGGAGCCAATCCAGATTAGACTGTTGAACTAAGTTAGCTAACTCATATCACTGGGACTTAAACCAGGAGCAGTTTTAGTTCACTAGGTAAAAGCCACACCTTTTTTTTTTTTTTTTTTTTTTTGCCATCCACTGTTTAGACTAGGTTTTGCATATATGAATGCCATGCTGAACAGCTTTTTTAGCTATTTTGTATCAAGGCTGAAGAGGTAAAATATTCAAAAGAAAAGGAAGTAAAAAAGAAATAAATTCTTGAGTGCGTTTGGTATTAGCCACTCTCCAGGCAACTCCTAGCTAAAGGCAAAGCTAAATTAAATTTTGTAGTATCAGAGTGAAATATATATATGCATACACACACACACATACACTCCGTAGGAGCTATTTTTAACACATGTACATCTACCATACCTCACATCTGAGAGCTTTATTTGAATCCAGGCTACTCATAGGGAACAAGCAGCTAATTAATTTATCTCACAAATATTAAACATGCAATTAGTCACCACAGAGCACTCAGTATTCCAGACATTACCCACCACTGTAGTCTCCACACTGTCAACAATGACTCTGGAAAATGAATCACATTCAGTACCTGACCTGCCATAGGAAGACAGACATAAATTGGTTTACCATATGCTGGTTTATATTGTTCTTATAATTCTTTTTCTCGTGTGCATGTGTGTGTGCAGTCAGCTAATGGGTTCTCTTCAATCATAATGCTGTGAAGGAAGTAAAGTAGTGTTTAGAAGGTTAAGTAAACTTTTAGTCTCAAAATCTTGAGATTAATATTTTGGCCCAAACACAATTATAAAGAAAAACATGCATCTGTTTCTCCGTTGGTAAAACAAGAGGTAATAGACTAAAAATGCAGGCAGGAAGAGGAGAGTTAGATGTTGAATGAAAACCTTTGAAATGGCAATAATAGTTATGCATTGTTAAACAGATGTGCAAGGGGAGATTGTACAGGTGGTGACAGGCACTTGAAGAAGGGCTTGGGCACAGCTGATAGTGTCCTGGAGAGGAATGGTGGGGGTTGTAAACTCTCAAGCTCCTGTCTAGCATTACGGCTGCGTGTTTGTTTCTTCAAAGACCTCATCAAATTTGGCAGCTGTATTACTTTTATCAATAGCAGCGCAAGGATCAAACAATCTTGCAAACTGAACTATCAGCTGAAGTTGAAGCACATTTATTTACTGTAAAGCAAACATCATTACTGTTGCCCTTGAGATATTTTGTGATTAAGTGCAATTTCTCATGCTAGCAAATCTAGTAGAATTTGTATAAATCGTAACTGCCATTATTCCAGGGCTAGCTCCTAAAATTCAGAGAAGATTCTGGGGGTTAAACAATTTTAAAGATCAGAAAATGGTATTGTAATTGTAGGAAAGCCTTGCAAGATGGGGTCCAGCTCAATTCGTTGTAGTGCTTTGGCAGTACATATAGCATAGCAATTAGAAATTATTTCTGCAAGAGTGGAGCATTAGAAGACATCATACTGTTATACAGCACTGGAGCATTTGGTCATAAATCTTGCAACCTGTGGTAGAATCTAAACTAATAAAGCATTAAAAAGAGGGCAAAAAATTTCAGTACCTTTTCAAACTCTTCATCTTCATTTGAGAACGTGGTTTTACAGTGGTGATATGAGGTTTAATGTGGGTGGGAATCTATCAGTGCTTTTGTTTTTATTGTTGTACTTCATTTCTTAATGTTATTTAACCTCTGTGGCTTTTGTTGGATATATTTATAAGTTGCTAAACCAATAGCAATAGAGTACAGCAACCATTCTTTGAGTTGCAAAACAGTGTTCTCATCATCAAACTGCTAGTTTAAATGTTAGTATGGAAATCAGTTCTTAGACTAATCGACAAATAAATCAGAGGATGAAATACTGGGCTAGGTGACTGAATCAAAACCTTTGATGAGGGGGAAAGAGTTCATTAACAATCAACATGAAATTCCAGAGCAATCCAGTGGTTTAAAGAATGCTGCTGTATACACATGGACATATTGTAGTGTTTTGAAATTTCAATGACATATAACATGCTTCAGATTTTTGTTAGTATTAGCCTTTTTTTTTTTTCCCCTCTGTGATTTGGGGTAATGCCCCTGTGGTTCCACCATCTCTGGAGCACAAGCATAGGGAATCCTTCCTCTGTGCCAGCCTCTCGTATGGATACCATGGAATGAGGGCTATAAGGGTCATCATGTGATCCCCACAAGTCCATCCCTCTGGGTATCCCCTTCCTCCTCTAAGGCTTGCATCTCCCATGGGCAGCAGCACTTGCATTTTGTAGTGAAGGCTTTGCTTGTGCTGGCTTTCCAGCCACTGGTAACTACCACAATGGGCACTGTGGTTCCCATTTGCTGGTCTGGACAGGCAGGCTGTACCCCTCACTCCCACAGCTGTGCCACCTCCCAGGTCTGAGCAGCTCTGGGCTGCCAAGTCAAGGGTTACACACTCTCTGTATGAGTGCAGAGGTGGGAGTCTTCAGTGGGAGCCCCAGCCTCTGCACTCAGTTTG